TAAGTAAATGTCCAAATATAAATACAAGTAATTGTATATATACTGTAACTGCATATAAATGCAACTCTTTCACAAACTTTAGACTGAAGACTTATCTGTTTAGTCAGGCTTAATTAATTAGTCTACCTCTTCCCCTTTTTCCACATTTTTTTTCTTCATCTTAATTTCTGTTAAATGATATTTTGATTTTTGGGGGGCTGTTTAGTTTTATCCTGTAAAGTGCCCCAGACACTACGTATACACAGTATGCACCACGTATCAGAAATGCTATAGCACTGTGCTTCTGGCATGGCAATTTTTTATGTGATGAAAGACAGCAAGTGTTAGCCACAGCACAGTAAATATGGTCTTTCTATCTTACTACAGATATTAATCTTTTTGTTTTTTGGTTTGTTTTTTGTATTCTTAAGTTTACAGCTTCATAGTTTTGGAAGGAATTAAAACAAGAAGCCTAGACTTTTAGGGAAGACATCTAGCACATCACTACATGTGTACAAGAATTTAAAAACATCAGTACAAATAAGAAGTTAAAATGGCACCAATTTTACTAACACATATCACTCTCCTGGAAAGAATTGATAGGCACTCTTCCACAGCCAAAAAAAAAGTCTTATCCAAAATTGCCTTTTATAAATATAGTATTATAACAGTCTTAGAATGACTTTTAGTGTTAGAATTTAAATGCCATTAACATGTTTCCTGTAGCCATGCTGGAAAACAAGAAACAAGTACTTTCATTAAAGTTCAGATAGTCAGGCTACAAGAGATGTGTCATCCAAAGTGTTTCACTTCTGAGGGATCTAAATTTCATGTCAAGCAGAGCCAAAATTGGTCAGGCAGATAATATTGCTGGTGTTCTGTGTTACACAAATCCATAAGAAAAAGTGTGCTTAGGCTCCAAGTCTGTCCTTGGGCCACGGTCACCAGAATGATTTATTTTTAACAACTAAAGTGGAAAAGGGTTACTTTATTCAGTTACACATGGGTTACAATTCCCCTTACTCTCTGCAAAATCAGAGATAAGGAGAGATTTTCAAAACTAATATTACATCACAGTCAATACTTTATTTTCTGCACAGGAATATACTGAAAATTACTCAAAACCCTTATCTACATGACTCTAATGAAGAAGAGCTAGTTTAGTACATCTGCCTAACAAGCCGCAAGTTAAAACTGACCACAATGTGTCCCTTTCATATTGTGTGTTACAGAACTTTAAAGCAACTAATTAAAGCTTTGATGCTTTAATTAGAAGGAATATCCCTTGCTGTAATTAATATTTCATAAATATTGCAGGGTATACCAATACAGAAGTTATGCAATAGGGTTAAGGTGTGGTCTTTCTTAATTCTACACTTTTCTAACTGAGTCAGGAACAGGGGAATCTTGTAATGTACTTTAATATGAATAATGAACTCAAGATAATCTTTTGTCCAGCAATGTGATAATCACAATTCAACAGGTAATTATTTTGGTGGGCAAATATCAAAATTAAATGGATTGCAAGGTTAAGATAAAAAGTCAAAGTAAATATTAAGACAGTTAAAAGCATAACACTTATAAAAGTGATGTTATGTTGTATAATTGTATAATGCATTAGTAAGGCTTGATTTTGAATACTGTGTACAATTTTGATCACCACATGATAAAGTTTTTACAGCTCTGAAATTAGTGCAGAGAAGACAACAGGATACGTTCTCAGACTAAGGGGAATGTCCTCAGATGAGAGGCTGAAAGAATTGAACCTGTTCAGTTTGGAATGGAGAAGATGATGAGGGGACCTGTTACAAGAATTTAACATCCTCAAAGGCTCTGACAATGTGAACCCAGTGGACTTCTTCAGAGTGAACACTGAAACATGACAAAGGTGACAAATGGAAACTATGTAGAAGTGCATTAAGAACCAAGAAGAAAGAGGAACTTCTTTATCCAAAGTAATGTGGGAATGTGAAACAAGCTACCAAGCCAGGTTGTTGAAGCCATAACATGGCTTCTTTAATTAAACTGATGAATGAGATCCTGGATCAATTAACTACTTAAATAAAATCAAGATGGACTTTATAGTCTCTTCTGATTTGTATTAATTCTCATTGTCTTAAGGCACCACATTAGTTGTGAGTTATTTCTTTTTGACTGCTTTTCAGAAATATAAAAAAATACTTCAGACTGCGTTTAAAAGCTCTCTTGGAAAATGCTGTCTTGATTAAAGCTCTATAAATGTATTAAAATGCATGTGATAATTAAATTTAAAACAAATAGGATGAGAATTTTGCCAGTAGATTTTGATGTAGGTTTCTCTGTCCAAATCTGGGGTGAATCCTAAATGCATTTGCATATATATTCAACAATTGATTAGGAGGTGTCTAAACAATATGAAATGTATTACTTGGAGACTTCATATCCTACAGCCACAATTACAATCTTAGTATCCTGGTACTGAGTCCTCCAGCCATGTCTTTTACCAAAGAGGTTATTTACAATGTCTGTGAAATTAGGGCTCATTAGTATGTAAGGGTAGTGTGGCTTTGCTGAAGCTGAGCAAAGTGCCAACTTATACAATGAAAGACTTGTCTCACAGCAGATGATCCTTATTTTCACCCATCATTACGTTCTGGACTTTTGCCGGGTGTATAGGATTTTTACTTTTTCGTCCAGATGAGACTGAGACCAGCATACTCATTCAACTTATGATCAGAAATATTTCTGAGACTCAGACCACCAGAAAAAAATCTTTCCCCACAGTCGAAGCACCACCCAACTGTGTTGCTGCTCTTGAGACCACTTTATGAGATCTCGGTTTCATTTATTGGATATTAAAAGCATTATTGTTTTTTATTTAATATAAATGTTTCCTAACTAACTTACGTTTCAATCGGTGAATGGCATACATGAAAATACAGGATATCAGCCAACCCAGGTCTCACGATGTGAAGGACCGAGTAACTAAGATGCAAACTTTAAAAAGCATCTCATGGGAACAGAGTGAAGTGACAGCAATTTACCTGTCACTAACCAAACAACAGATCACAAATATCAATACTGTCCCAGTGGGAATTTAGAAAAGTACTAATAAAGACCGTCCTAGATAGAAAATAAATATTTTAACCAGCTTGGAATCTTAGTGTCAGTCTAGATTAGAGAGGAAAGGACTATGTGCAGCCTACATCAGGAGCTGTCTGTAAAAATAATCAGACTGTCAGTGTTTGGATGGGATTTCGGGTTCTGCTTAAGTGCAATCTTTGAGGAAGGGAGTCAAATCAAGCCTTTCTGAGTAAAGAAGATTAGTGTTGGTTGTTTAAACTGCTTGGGGGAAAGATTTACCATTATTACCAGCAAGGATGATGGAAATTGTCAGTAATCAAAAATCAGTGGCGGCAATGTCCTCACTGAGAAAATGGAAAATGTTAATTGAAGTCCAAGCCATATGGGGCAGCTTATGAGTATTCAATAGAAGTCATAAGGAAACAAAGATTAGAAGACACTAAAGAGGGGAGGAGGGGGGTGGTGGAATGATTACAAAATTAAGGACAGATAAGGACATAACAGTCCAAAGAGAATGAAAGACAATGGCTAAATACAGAGCTTTAGGAAGCACGATGTTTCAATATCTATCGGTTGTGTTTTCGTGTTTTTATTTCACCTTCTTTAAAACCTTCACTTCAGATTTTTTCAATCACTAACAAGGAAGAGCATTAAAAAGCTTTTTAGAGCCCCAACAGCAGGCTCTGTGTCATACTGTAAATGGATACACATTTTGCAACAAAATACACACAGCTACAAAACTCCTAGACAAGCAAGAATTCAATGCTCAAGAACTGCTTTGTTAAAAAGGAGTTAAAGGCCTGCAGTTTAGAAGATAGTGAAGAATTAAAATTTGACCAATTACAAAAGTACAAATTCCACAAATAAATTCTGTTATACACACTTTGTGTTAACATACAGTATGTGTGCATTCTTGTGGAGTTCAATGAAGTCAAACAGGTAGGAATAGAAATGTGTTCTTAGATACAGACTAATAGTTGGTATTTTAAATAAAAAAGGAACTTTTTAGTGTTTTCTAGGGCAGACAAACTGTGGTTTCACACAAACGTTCTTTATCCATTCAATAGCCTAACATTTGACTTATCAGGTTTTTTTTTTTCAATTTATTTTGAAGGCTATGGAGTGTTATCATGTAATACTGACAATGAATAACTATTATAATAAATCTAAGACTTTGATCTATGCTCTAGAATGAAATTAAATTTGAAAGCTTTAATACGTTACCTATTAATCCGTTATCGATGACACTACCAAACATTATCAAGATATGTACTGTATATGGGATAGCATGTTTTATAGAATTGTACACTGATTTATATAAAATAGAAAACTGAAATTATCCCTCATTTTGTATAATGTTCTAAAATGAACAACTTTTTTTAGGCAACTAAAATGTAGTATTTTGCACTGAATACGTGGGGTCAAGTCTGTATATTATTTAGAAAATGTCTCTATTATAATAAGTTCAATATTTGTCTAATTTTAATAATTTTTTTATCATTTGTTTTTTATAGGAGTAATATCATGCAACCGAGATAGAAAAATACATATTTCTTGAGCCATGCAAAACGGTATTTTTTTCACGAGAATAAACTGACACCATACAAGTAACGTTTTAACAAGGCTATAGACGCACTTTGAAATGTTAAAACATGTATAAGATGTAATTTAATTAGAATTATTCTACAATATATGCATATTTTTAATTATTTACCTCTGTAACAATTTGTCACCAGGAATGTAATCAGTTTTATCCTTGCCTGAAGACGGATTTTCACTGCTGTGAGTTTTTCAACCAATAGCAAAAAAAAGAGTTGGTCCATTTAAGAAACTGCTATCAACAATGCAAATTGTTGCAAATTGACAATATAACTATTAAACAAAACACTGCTTTAAAAAAAGAAGAGCCGATTTATACACAATGAAACAATTGCAACAGTAAAACCTGTGCGACTTACCGATTCTGAGGACCTGCTGCGAACTCAAATAAAACTCTGCCATTAAGTAAACCAGCGAAAATAACAGTCCCTTTCTCGTCTCCATTGTGAACAAGCTGGAGTCGAAATTAGCTTTAATCTCCATTTCCTTTAAATTAAAGCGGATACTTTCGTCAGTCCTTGTTATAGTACTCCTTTAAAATTGGGCATCCTTCCCCCATCATTCTTTCTACTTTCGCGTTCTGCTCTGAAAAAAACTCACTCGCTATAGATGATAAGCTCACAGTGAGCTCCGCTTCTCCATTCTTTACCCCATCAGTGCTAACAAATGAACATTTTGTATCTTCAAGACGTCCCAGAAATGCATGTATTTTGTTTAGGTCTTTCGATACATATCGGAGTTACAACACCGAACTGCAATGTCCTACCCTTGCATACACTTTAACAAGAACACAATCTGCAGAGTCTACAGTCTGCGGATTAACCTCAAATCTGGCAGCATTCACCCTCAACAACTTCTTTACGATGGAACACCGAGGAATGATTAAATCTTCGTTCGAGTCCTGATGAAAAAGCAGATCTAATCTCCATAATAGCCAGTGACGCTCTCTCGGAAGATTAAGTACCTCTTCAGTTCGGCTTTTCTGCGCTGTTAGAAACCATGTTCTTTTTTCTTTTAGGTTCGCTGTAAAATTGCTTTGTTTTAATTAGGCATGCGTATAATATCCAGAAATGCTTTCTGATTATTCCTGCAATCCCATCGGTACTGTAACAATTGGAAAAAAGCACCGCATTGTTCAGCTACCACCTGTCAAGCGAATTCTCTGACAACTGTGCCATCGAAATTTCAGCGCTTTTGCAAATCGCGTGTTAGTTACTTGCTTGGAAGCGCTATGTGAAAATCTTTTCAAATAAAACAGGCCATCTGCCTTTTTAAATGTGGTCTCTGTGTAAAGCTTTGAAAATTATAAGAACTGTAAATGACACTGGCCTTTATACTCCCTATGTGTCCTTCATACTCGATTCGTCATCTTTGTAACGCTGTCACATTGAACAAGCTGAAAAACGTTATTAGTCTAATAAACGAAACTGTATTAATAGCAATATAAATTATGTTTATGCTCTTCGTGTAGGGGTACACCCATAGGCCACAGTAAGTCTTCGGGCTTTTTCTTTACAAAAAATAAGTTTTAGATGTGGCCTGCTAGAAATGCGTTCCTGTGAGGATGCTTGGTGATTTACCACTATATTGGTGTAATAGGCGATAATAAAACCTACTAGATCTTTATATAATGAGCTTATGTGTTTTATTTGATAAATCTTTGTAAGAATTCTCATTTAATTGCTTTGTGTAATTTTTTTTTTCGGGTACAAAGGAGTTGATCAAATCTGTTTCAGCTGAGAGGTAGACTGAGTGTAGTGTTAAATGTATTCAAAACACATCTCTACAGAAAAGTGACATTCCACAAAGAGCGCTCTTTTGGTACAGCACTACTAACAACGTCGTTAGGAGTGAAAAAGCTTTCCGTGGCTTTTATGAAAGCTAAAAGCAACTCTTGATATTTATCATGTCCAGCTGTGACTGACTGGATGCTTTTAAAGGCACGATATACACTATAATATTAAACTATTGTTGAATGTTGCCTGCTTGGTCAACTTTGGGGACAATGGAGAAAAGATTAACAAAATTGTTCAACTAAAGATTTGGTCTATTTCGTCATTGACAGTTAATGAAATCAACAGATCTTTGTTGCCATCTGCTGGGTAGAACAGACATGCATAACAAATCAATTGTAGTTAAAAGAAATAAAATATAGTAATATAGAATCTTAATCGTCACCTTCGTTAAGAAGCACAGTGAGTCACGCTGGCATTGTCCTCTTACAAGAAAGCCCTTTAAGAAACTCCTTTTCTGTAACCTCCTGAAGAGCCACAGGTTTCTCGGATTCTAAACCCTTATCTCAGCCGATAATTGTCTTATTAACTCAATGATTTCACTTTTAACGTATGCCTAAGACTAGGCCCACGAGCAGGAAGATACAATTTAGCTTGTAAACATATATATTACAGACAACTTCACAAACGATGGATGACATCATTTTATGGTTGTTTTTTTAAGCATCGACATACAATGTATCTTCACAATAATCTGTCCAGTTAGCAGTTTAAGGGTGTAGTTTCTCACAATGTCTTACAGTGTAGTGTCTCATTTTGTATTATTATTATTATTACATGATAATTGGGGAGAACCAGGACCAGACACTTCGGGGCAGGACTGGTTTTCCACCTCACCCTTAAACCCACAGGTTTCGGGCCAGTTATTATGTACAGTTCCAGGTGAAGGTCACCTTCTTCAAATCGTAAATGTCCCACACTAACACACCCATTCTGCCCCGAACAGTTCTGGAAGAAATAAACACTGACCTGATATAAAATGTATAGTACAGTACCTCACCGATAAGAAGGGCTCTTATCGATAAGGGGCTCTGTTCATCGCTTGCTTCAGACCTGGGAAAGTGGTAATAAATAATAATATTATTTCTGTGCTATAAAACATCTTCGAGACCAAAGTGAGACTTTGAGGCTTAAATAAACCCTTTCAATGACATCGATTAAATTGGGATGTTAAGACAAATAGTTTCTGCAATTCACAACAGACAGCAGTGTCCATTGAAATTCGATTCCAATGCATTAGTATGTCCCGTCCAGGGAATATATCTAATCCAATGCCGACAGAGGCGGGAAGTGTTATTTATCATTTAAAAACGGTGATACACGTATGAGGATATATCCAAGAGCACTCTAAGCCCCTTTAACAGATTAAAAACCCATACAAAACTAAATATATTATACTGTATACAACATTATACATTATAATATACGCACATTATATTCTGCGTCTATTCGGAAATATCACTTTAGGCTGTATAATTAGATCGATGTTGCAATTGTTGCTAATTAAGCGTCCAGAACTGGGCTGAAGGGAGCCTTTGTTTAAACGTTTGAATAAGTCTTTGATTGTCCCTTTCATTGTCTGCACACGACCAATCCTAATGGCGAGTCCACGGACTACAGAGTAACCCAACCAGCAGGAAACGTTTCGCATTTAATAATTCTAAAAATAAACAGGGTTGCAGGATGAATCATCTTAAATATTGCTTGATTAAAAAAAACTCGCCATACAACACCTATCACTACAATCCCTTCTCCGAATTCAGGTGAGCTTCAATAGCTCTTAAAAAAGGTCATTCTACTGATCAGGTGATTTCAATTAAATAATTGAGAGAGAGCGATAAGGAACACAAAGTATATTGAGTATTTTAAAGTCATAACTTTGAAAATCATTACGACGAATCAAATGGAAAAATAATCTACAGTTAAAGCACATAATAGTATGTGTGTTATTGTTTAATCGCCAGTTGTTGTTACACTGTATCCACTATTGTATGTTATTTTTTTCAATAGGTTATGATGTAAAACCAGCTTCATTATAACAATAACTTAGTTACTTTGTATTACTTAAAATAAATTATAAGAATTTTATGTACATCATACTAGATAACAATAGGTATATTGTTCAATTAAAAAAAATGCACAATATTCAGCTTCAGAGGGCTTTTTATGTTTACCATTTCACACGACGACATCAAGGGGCTAAACAGAACAAACTGTAGACGGAGTATTCTAATTATATAAATTAATTTCTATGTTTTTGTGAGTACAAGGATTTGGGCAGGGGCGGTGGGCCGGGGTGGCAGCTGGATCAATTGTTTCACATATCTTGGGTCCAGGGTCTGATTGTCGGTTGGGATTCAAGTTTGCTTCTTTTTGCCGAGCCACCTGTGAAACCTGCATTATCAATCTCAGGCTATTCCATACTGTAGTGTTTGATCAAAGTATCATTTTTTGAATAACTTGTTTACCAATGTGTAATGTTTTATCTTAAATATCTGTTTTTCTGTTGTCACGTACAAAAGTGCAAACAAATATTGAAGCGATACATAGCTAAATCAAAGGTGTCTTTAAAATTAGTCTGGAAAACAACAGGTTTTTAACAGTGTCCACAAGGTGGAGACATACTTTTACAATTACGATTCCACAATTTAGCGAAATACTCTTGTATTTTATCGATGCTAAAACGCAGATAATTGCGTTTATATATCATAATAATATGAAAATTAAATAAATATTTCACATTCTTTTATTGATCAATTTCACACACTCTGTTAAAAGGTTAACACATTGAGGAAGTGTTGGGGGAGATGAGCAATGCTATATGCCTTTAATTTTTTTTATATTAAGCCTTATAAATGTATAAAAAATAGCCTTTCAGCCCATCACTAAAAGTACGTTACATGCATACAAATTGAGAATTGAATTGTTTCGTTCGTTTGCCATTTTTTTGTCAAGAAATGTACTGTATCTGCTCACCTCACAGACTACCGGATTTAGTTCCTGCTGTTAAGAATGACCTGTCAGACCTTGCAGAAATTTTGTACCATAATTCTCTGCAATTTGCAGTTGCACTTTTTTCTTCCTCTTATCCATTAAGGCAGTGATTTGTAATAGTTTCTTCGGGGTTGAAAGGGCTTACCCAAGTGTATTTTAGAATGCTTTCAGAAGATTTTTAGTATGTTCTATTGCCGTAGATAATGCACATTTTGATAATTATATCTCCACTTTGCCCTCAACCCTGGTTTGAAGAGCTACACTGCACATGGAGAAGCTAGCAAAGACTAATGCAGAATCACTCTTCAAACCCATTTTTCTTTATAGCATGTGTAAGCATATTCATTAATACATCAGGAAAATATATTTTTAATAAAGTGAAAGACTGAACAAACAGACAAAAGGAAAATAAATCTATAGGGGATATCTATTCCTATTACAAACATATACTGGTGACAACATATTTTGAAATATGCAGTTGTTTTCTGGAAATCATTTTACCCTTAGCCAGGACATGAAATAAATGTAAATGTTTGACAGTAGAGATGGGCCTTGTCCAATGTTCATTCTCTAAAGATGTGCTTGAAAGTCGCAGTTTGTACCCTTGGAAACTAAAATGACATGTGCAATCAAGACAGCTGGTAAGTCAGGTGAAATCTTGAAATGTTAAACCTGATGAAGAATGCAAAGCACTCTCTGTTAAGGGCCCTTTGATACACTGAAACCTACATGGATCTGAGCCACTTCACACTGCAAGCTAGCATACTGTAGCAATGTAGCACTTAAGTGCTGCTGTGGGAATCCAATCGTTTAACCAAAGCAAACAGAATACAGTACTTCTCATTTTATTTTATTTGCACACAGTGTTTTAGTATATACAAGCGATCAGACCTCCATGACTGCTACAACACAGCCAAGCACACAGGCCAGCTAAAACAATGGGATCACACACTAGATACTCCCATAGAAAATGTAACACGTACGTAGTTCACACATTCTGTGTACCAGAGACACTGGGGTTACTAACAAGAAGAGGAGCACACATGGAACTTGTAATAGAAGAAATCATTGACTTTATTCTCCTTTTGTTTGGATCATAATTTTTTAATCACGCAACTCTTGAATAAAAAAAAAGTCTTCTGCAAAATTTGGTGATAATTGAAAAGGGTTCAGCAGATTTTCTCACTACCCCCTTAAAGTACGCTAGAACCTTTGTCTCTATAAAAACCTTACCTGACCAATAGGTGGCACTCTTCCGTCTGGTGAAGGAGTAAACTGCATAATAGGCATTTCCAGCCCTGGACCTGGACAGCCTCTGCCCAGCAGGCTTTACAGATCACCATTAAATCAGCAATTTGTTGATATCAACTGTAGTTATATAAGATAAGATCACTTTATTGGCCGTATACAATGTCTTGTATTAGGAATTTGTCTTTTCGCATACCCCAACTTGCTCTCCATGAGACACACAGACAGGGAGAGAAGCTTGGGGTCAGAGCACATGGTCAGCCATT